GTAGGGGCCCATCAAAAAACAACGATGTGCAGCACACGGCCTTATAAGTCTGCTTAAGAAGAAAAGACACGGCCTCGCTGACCACCTCGAAGGTGTCAGAGCTGGACGGTGTCCGCTGCGCCGCCCGCGGCAGCTTCCCGGACGTCACGTGGCACTTCAGCCGTGCGCTTCGGCGGCTCGGCCTGCGCAAGGAATCTAACAGATTTAAAAACCCCGGCCTGTGGCCACATTGCCTACAAATTTATTTAAAAACCCCGGGACAGTGATATTGACATTGACATTGACATTACATTTCGTGACATGTCATTTCTGTTTGCCAGGCAGGACTTGTTTGACCTGTAGCGCCAGGGCGCAAGTTTGTGTTGTGGGCGATGTGGCCACTAAACAAACAGACCTTGCCGCTTTTGCCTCGCCCAAAAGCGCAATATAGGGAGCCAAGACCAAGGGAGCAATCTAAATGGCCCCCCACTCCCCGGCCTTTGCCATAAAACCGAGCTCGCCGGCTCGAGCAAGGAACTCCCATGGCGTGAGCAAGTTGTTCAGGCGGAAGTTGTACTGCGACCACGTCTTGGAGTAGATCTTGTCGTAGTTCCTCTCAAGCCACTGCAGCGGCGTGATCTCGGGGAGGGCATACCTGCTTGAGCGCGTGCGTGGGTGGTGAGAGCTGAAGTCGATGATGGCGCGGATCAAAGACAGGTGCTGCGCAATAGCCCCCGGCCTGTGGCCCGTCATCAGCATGAGGATGAGGGCCGCCCAAAAGGGGCTCCGGTGTGCGCCACTTTTGCACGACGACAGCACCCGGGCCCCCGCCAGCAGCGCGGAGATCACCAGGCCAGCGATCGTCATCGCCTCGGCGAACGTCGTGTGGCCTGTCACCACGCTCGTGCCGTCGCACGTTGCCAGGTGATTAAGGCGACTGTCTCTCACGACAGGCGGGGTTTTGGCGGCAGCCAGCGTCGAGCTTATCCCGTTGCGGGTGAGGGTGCCGATGTCGCCGCTGGCTGCGGCGCCGCCAACCCACATCTCCGCCCCGGTAGTTACCGAGCTCCACACCATGTGCATCGGGTGCCTGCGGTCAATCTAGGCCCATGGCCAACCAATCTACAACAAAGCCTCAAGTCAAAAAAGACACCAAATAAACGGCTCTTAAAATTTAAGGGTCTTTGGTTGGTGCTGATTGCTTGACACTTATCTTATCTCATCATATCTAACATGGAGTTATTGCCATACTTCCAGGAGAACAGCACGATTAATAGTGCGACCAACAAACAAAGTTCAAATGGGCTCAAGCGAGCAAGCACGGACAGCGACAGATAGGGATGAGAGGCAGGCAAGTTGCCGCGAGTTGTACGCGTCCCTGGCCATCTTGACAGCCTCCACGTTGCCGTAGCTGTCCGTGACCAGGTTGCCGAACAAGTCTGCCACGGCCTCGTGGCCTGGGCCTGCCATCGCCAGGCCAACGCAGAGCGGGAAGCGGGGGTCTGCCGGCGCCACCTTCTGGGCCAAGGTGCCGCCACTAGCCCTGGCCTGTAGCCCTGCCGAGCTGACCAAAGAGCTCTCCACCGACGAGCTCAGGCTGTCTGACCCCGGCAAGTTGCCCGACGCTGGCGCTGCCTCGGCCATGGCCGTGAGCAAAGCAAGGGCGAGTGCAAAACAGACACAGTGTAGACCAAAACGGCTGCGGAGCAAAAGCAATCCAACAATGTCAACGTCACATGTCATGTCATCTAGATGTCAAAGAATGCGTTGCTCCGCCCCCCCCCCCCGCCCCTCAGCCCCCAATGTCCTGTCCACGGCCCTGGGAAGAACGCGAGCAGCTCTTCGAAGGACTTCCGCCGCCGGCCCTGTGGATGCGCGCCTCCTTGAGCGCCAGCGCCCTGTTCCCCGGCTGCGTGGCCCTCCTCGCTGTCATCCTCCAAAAAAAACGGTGCACAACCCCACCAGTTTGCGAGCGCATCGCTGCCCTTCGGCCCACTGATAGCCTGCCCCACACTTGCAAGGTCTTCTCCAAGGCCTTGCCTACTTGGGCCCTCAGCCCTGCAAGGCAGGCTCGCTTGTTCATGACCTTTGACATGCAAAAGCAGCCGCCCAGGTTCCCCAGCAGCTTTGTCAGCTGCTCCACCACATTGCCGGCACAGTGCTGCGCGCACAGGATTGGAAGAAAGAGGTGGTCGGTGGGCAGGGATTGGTCCAGGTGCCGGAGAAGTCGAAGGTTTGCTGCATGAGCATCGCAAGTCGTCAGCGTAGCCACACGCTTGGCGGCCACGGCCAGTGGCCCCAAGCCACCCCGACCAGTGGTCAGCGCTAGCCACATAGTCTGCGAGTTCATGGCGCCCATGCTTTGCGGCGCCCGGAAGCAGTCTTCGTCATACACTTCCCCGGCTTGTAGCCCGCAGTTGTCGGGCAGAGCCGCGCTGACTGGAAAGGCAAAGGTCCATTGACCATGCGAACAAAGAATGGAGTGCACCGTTGCCGGCTCGGTGCTAACACGTAAGTCAAAGGACGACTCGTCAAACATCAAATTGCGCACAAAGAAGTCGCAAGCGGCTCCCCACGAGACTTGGGCAACCTCCTGCATTTTATCTTCTTGGGCTGCTAGAAGCGCCCGCGCAACCACGTGTCTAGCCGCGCCGGCGTGCGCCGGGCTTGCCCCATCGATCTCATTTGCAATTTGTCGTAGGGTGGAGGTCTCTGTGCCAAATCCGGCCCGTAGAATCGTCGTCGGCGTCCACGCTTTCCAGCCGCTTCTACCTTTCAGCCGGGTTCTACTCAATGCCGTCCGCGTGTTGGGGACCAAGAAATCTCCGGTGCGCCCCCGCCCACTTCATTGATAAACGAAGTCTGCATGTCTAGCGAACGTTCGTTTCTCTGTTGGGTGTTATTCTTTTTCCCCGGCCGGTGGCCTGCCACTTGCTGGACTCTACCATCCTGCTGGGGATCTTCTGCAGCCTCTATCGCTTCGCCGCCCGCGTCATGCTCGGCCAAAATGGCCATGATTTGGTCCAGGTCCATGGCAGCGCCGCATCAGCCGCGGGCACTTTGGCCAAGGCTGGAGTTAGGAAACAGCAAACGACAGGCGGGCTCGAGCATGACAAAAGGAAAGACTCATGCCACGCTGTAACTTGTAAAATGATTTTGGGCGCTAGCAAGATGTATTGCGCAACATGTGAATTGCTCGGGCTTGGCAGCTTCCAAACCAAATATTATCTACCGTAGGCTTGCCAAGGCGTATATCCTACCGGTGACTAATATCACGCTGCTTCTCAACATGGAAGATGATATAACAAACAACATTTCCATGAGCCATACGAAACAAAAGGATTCAAAAGGGTTTCGCGGATTGTCCTATCATTGTGCTTAGGGGCCTTAGGAATTATGTTAAATAATGTTTAAATGTAGTTTAAAGTATTTAAACATTTTTGTGGTTTAAAGTATTTAAACATTTTTGTGTTTTTTGATTTAAAGATTTTCGTGACTTAAAGATTTTTGCTTTTATTAAAATAACATGTTTTAAAAAAATAAGATTTTAAGATTTCTGGAAAAAAGATTTCCCTGTTTTTTGTGTCGCACACAGCACAAGCTCTCTTAAAACCAATCAACTTATTGTGTGGGGCATTGGCAACCGTCATGGGCAGGCTAAAAGAGTAGAGCTGGTTGATGTTGAACATGCTGTCACCAGGTTTCCACTCGTCTGGTGGAGAAAGGCCACGCTTTCTGAGGCTGCACTGGCAACGTAGCTGGGTATCCAGGCGATGTCGTAGTTTGGGAGGAATGAACCGGTGCGTGGGCACGTGGTGGCATCATGGGCTTCACGATCTTCGCCGGTGTGGGTTCGGAGGAAACGGCATCATGTAGTTGACCGGAGAACGCTGAAAGAGTTGCGAAGAGGAGGGATTCTGCTGGTAGTTGCCCTGTTGGAAAGGCACTGGATGCGTTGTAGCCCGAATTGTGTTGCCAGGAAACCAGGTTGTTCCAATCCATGCCGTCCGAGACCAGGGTGTCATCGTGATCACATCTGCGTGCTTTACGAGGCTGGGAAGATGGACTCCGATCCCGTCTGCGCCGAGTTCTAGATCTGCCACGATCATCTCGTCGAGACATGACGAACCCAGGTAATAGCACAAATCAACCTTGAGAAAGACTAAGACCGACAAGCTTCAATTCCATGACAACGCAAGATCATGCCAAGTACAAATCAACACGAGGCAACACATGAAAAGATCAGCAAGCGGCGCCCGCGTGCCCGTGAGACGTCACTATGAGCTGGTGGCTGTCTTCCCTTTAGTGAAACCTCGTTCCTGCTTAAACGTGAAATTCCGCTGGTCTATGATATGAACGTTGAGGTCAAATTTTCCGGCGAACCGGCCCGGGGTCACACGATGGGTACACCCGAGGGTCCCCCAAGACTGGGGTAGTCACACTTGAACTCCAAATGGAGGGCGCTAATCTTTCAAGTACAACTGATGAGTCTCAAGTACAACTGATGAGTCTCGAGTACAACTGATAAGTCTCGAGTACAATAGTTTTTGGCTTGCAAGACGCTTGGCTTTCCGGTAGAATCGAAAACGCTACAGAAGCAACAAGAAGCACTTACAGCGAGGGAAACAGCGGGCCAAAAGGACTTTGCACAACCGTTGCAGGTACACAATCCAGCGTCCCGGATTGCATCAGGCGTCTTCGTTGGCCTGAGTCCTGATGAGAAGCCTCAAGCCCCCTGCGTGAGAAATTGTGGTGGCAGGGTATTCTGCCACTCCGCACACACACACACAAAATCCTCACTTTTGATTTGGGCACAATGCTCAAGCCCCAGAAGGGGAAAGGCCCATGGTCAGAACAACCATTGCAAGTTGAAAGCAATGACCTGCCCAATGACCTGCCCAGCCAGTCTCAGTTCGCTACACGTGTCAAAATTGGCACATTCCTGCTGGGCAAAAGCAGGTTCATGGGCACATGATGGCCGCCTTGGGCCAAGCGCGTGTAACCTCGCACAAGAGACGCGCCTTGTCCTCCTCTTCCACGATGGCCACCTTGCTGGCCATCTTCGTGACCTCTTGGACCTGGCCGGACGCTCGCTTTAGGAAGATGTCTATGAGGCAATCCTGCATGAGGCGATAGCCACAGGCAAAGTGTCACAATTCGCACAGGTCGTGCCAGTTCAAAACAAGTGCATGTTCACACTGCGTGTGCTATCAAGCGCTTCTGGTTTGCCCCAGACGTGCACCCGAGCAAAGATCATCTCAGCCCTCTTCAATTCAATGTTCGGCCAGTGAAAGGCTTATTGTTCGAGGGTCATCATATGTGTTTTCCAGAGACGTATGCAGCAAGCGGAGGAGACAACAACAAATGTCACTCCAACGCTTTGACAGGACGGCCGCACATGCACACACGTGCACACAGACACACACTTAAACTCCAGATGGAGGGTGCTAATCTTTCGAGTACAACTGATGAGTCTCGAGTGGGTGTAGGTTCGGCTTGCAGTCACTTGGTTTCCGTCTAGCAGCGAAAACGTTACAAATTCAACATGAAGCACACACAGCGAGAGAAACAACGGGCCAAATGGACATTGCACAACCGTTGCAGGTACACAATCCAGCGTCCCGGATTGCATCACACTTCTCATCAGGCGTCTTCGTTGGCCTGAGTCCTGATGAGAAGCCTCAAGCCCCCTGCTGTAGGGGTGAAAACTTGATGTTGGTGACAGGGTATTCTGTCACTCCGCACACACACGCCCCTCAATGAGGGGCGAGAAGTCTCTTTTTCTTTTTCTTTTCAGCAGGAAGATCACATGCTCAACTTCGTGTCGCTATCGTTTGCCAAAATATCCACCGCGGCGAGGGGAACGCGAAACTGCCCTGAGCCGCTCAGAAGACGGGAACGAAAGATCACCACGATGAGCATTACGGGTGTCGCCATAGAAGACTGTAGGGAAGTGCAAAGCAGTGGAGCGATCACCGTCAGAAATAGGGGGAGCATAGGTGAACATTTCCTCGACTCGGATTGCGTCCGAATTCTGCCCGTCAACAAGATTGATCACGGGCATGCTGTGTGGAGAAGGACTCCCAGCGAGAAAGAATGCGTTGGTATCCTTGATGCTGCCAGTCGCGAATGGTCCACGCCTGACTGTGTTCACCAGTCCCACCAATGGGATCAGCTACCCGCTTCCACTCCCGAAACGAGTTGTCTGGTAGGTCAGGTACGGTTTCTCCTGGTTGCCACCACTGAGGTTGTCCCGGAGTATAGATCCGCACCCACTCCTGATCCTGCCAGACCGAATATTCGAGCCATGGGCACTGCTTTGCATCCTCGATGTCCATGCCGAAGTGAGAGACAGGGCGTACCGTGGGTTCCGATCCAGCTAGCAAAGAAACAGTCCCCATGTACAACCATGCACAAACAGCAATCAAGCAAGGACGCACAAGCATGAAAAGCACCCTTTTGTATCACGTCCAACCCGCATCCATCTAGTCATCATTTAGCTCGAAGATAGGCTTCTCCTTGGCGGCGGAGCTGCATGATTGGGACGTAGGCAGGTATGGATCAGAGATCCCAATAGACTCTGGTGTTGCACTTCCACGAGATGCGCGTACTGGTTGGTGTTGTTGGGATGCATGACGCGCGCGATCGACAGTTGTTGAGAGATCCCATCCTGAAGGCGAGTGAGATCCTCAGTGGAGAAAGCCGCTGCATCCGATGATCTAAGAATCGCATCCAACATTTGCGGTGACATACACAAAGCCGAGGATTGCGTGGCCACGCTATGCTGATCAGGAAAAGACATCGAATCGAAGTCGTGACCAGCTTGAGGGGCAGCTACTCGCCGATAGCCCTCCGTGGCCCAGTCTCTTTTGTACCAAATGCTATTGTTTGGCTGCGCACCTTCTTGGTCAGGATTTGGGTCTGAGAACTAAGCATCATGTTCGGTCTGCGGGGTCCATGATCCCGGGTGAAAGATCTTGACCCACTGGGCATCTGGCTGTTGAGGATCCGGACACCACTCCAGCCACGGCATGACAACTCAAACCCTTGATGACAAATTGAGCGGTGTGCGGCTGCAGACTACTAGTTCTTCATGTGACACAACAGCAAACATGCAAGCACAACCTTTTGTAGCAAGGCGCATCTCAGGTGTCGAAGTCACTCGCCCTAATCAAATTGAATGGAATATCCAGGGAAGACGAGGACGAACATCATCCACCATCTGAGTTCGAGGATGCCGACGAAGAGGACAGTCCAGCGTACATAAGGTCTGGTGATCCCGAAGCGAAAACTGGACGTGCAATGTTGGGGTGCGGATGACCGAGCCGTTGATATCCTCTGGTGACCCAGTCACGATACTGCCATGTATAAAAGGACGTATATGAGACCGATTGGGGAACAGAGCCCATAATGGTGCCGCCTGTGCTGTCACTAGGCCAACACACGTCGAAGTGGTAGAATTTGCGCCATTCCCGATAGGTGGTTGTGTCCTCAGGGGCCGGCCCCAAGGTGTTTTCAGCAACTGGTTGCCACGGACTAGACCCGAATCCATTCAACGCTTGTGCTCGCAGGGCCATTGACGATGTCGTACTCAAAGTAGCGTGGTAGGGTCCATCTTGCAGTGCCATATATTGTAGAATTGAACATATCGACCCGGGAAGCCGCTTTGAGGCAAAAGGGAGCAGCGAAAACATGGAGAGGAAAGCACAACACAAGTCAAGACAACCCAAGACGATGCAGCAATCAAATCATGCACAATCGCATCATTTTATCCGACATGTTGCTCAGGTATCAATCCGAAACACTCCAAGGATCATAGAATGGTGGGGGAGAAGGTTCCCGCCACGCCCCATCCGGAACTGAAGACTCCGACGAGGAAGCAACTTCTTCATTCACTAGCGCCGCCGATCCAATGGATGGTAGAGGAACGCCAAGGCGTTGATAACCTCGTGTTTCCCAGTCTCGATACGTATGATACATACGAAATGGGCATGGGGGTCCGCAGCGGTTCCTCCGGCGCTGTCCGCGGGCGAGTACACGTCAAAGTGATAAGACTTGCGCCACTCCCGATACGTGGAAGCGTAGTCTGGGGCACGTCCCAGAGTGGCTGTGGCTACGGGTTGCCACGGACCCGGTGTGTAAATTCGAATCCATTCCACTCCTCTCTCGATGTGGTACTCAAAGTAGTGCGGGTTCATGACAGCAAATTGGGTCGCTGAAAGAAATCGCAAAGCCACTGAATCTGCGGCAAAACACTCATGCCATGACAACCGTGACTCAACGAGAATGTGTTGAACAACGCAATGCAAGGCAACTTTTCAAATTGAAGGCGTGACGAATCCACAAGGTCTATAGTATACGACACCTATGCTTCACCGCCGCTGATGCCGCACACACCTGCAATGGTAATGTCCTGGTCGGCGACGAGCACAGGGAGAAAGACACTTCCGTCCATGATGTAGAAAGGCATGACAGTAATGCTTGCAGCTTGGCAATGGGGACTGTGATGTACGGGTGGCTCGTTTTGAAGGGAACACGGTGAAGGGTCGTCGAGATCTCCGCAGGGCAGAAGCGGATGCTGTCCGAGAGCGTTTCGGAGAAAGCGTGAGACTGTGTAGGTCATCATCACGGAGCTGGTCAGCGCTGCATATCGAGCGGCGTGTGCGCTGCGATGTCACTGTGGCAGGGCAGGACTGTCCTCGAGGAGAAGGGCTCGAGGAGGCACGCAATGAGGGCATAAACTGTGGGTGTAGAATCACCGGTGGTGGTGGCGGTGGAGGAGGTGGAGGTGGAAGAAGTAATGGAAACCTTGGCGGGGGTGGAGGTGAAGCAGTCCATCGAACTGGTCTGTCAAGCAATGTACCAGGCCCGTGAAACTGTAACCACGTCGGCTGCGCTCCATGGGTCCAAGTGATGTATGTCTGCACATCTTGTTCCAACATGGTTTGAGCAGCTCAGCGATGCATGAAATCCAAGTCATCAACAACTCCCATGACAACCAACATTGACCTCACTGGCAGAAAAGTCATGTAGTTCCTTCAAGTCATTACTGCGAAGTATGCCAGCCATGTCATGCAAGCAAGCAAGAGAAGAATCATGCGAGCAGCCATGTCTGCAATCCAAACCATCTCGACAACATGCAACACTCACATGATGCACTGCCACGTCCTACGGACTAGTCCTCCGGTAGTCGCTGGTTCTTTCGATGCACAGTGCCCTAAGCGCGAGCCTCAAGTTGCTGGTAGACCTTCCAGGCCTGCTTGACTTCCTCTATGGGCTTCTGAAGGAAACGGGCAATGGTTTTGTAGGTGGGCCTGGAATCCTTGTCCTTTTTCCGTCGGACCATCTCATCCAGCTCACCCTGTGTCCACGCCGTAAAAGGTTCAAGATGTGCATTGCGAAGGGCAATGGTGAATTCTTGTAGAAGTTCCCGAGGTCCATGAACCACCGTGGGCGATGGACGGAACGATGAAGCACCTGGATGTGGACGAACTGAACCATCCGAATCCGAATCAGGTGTGGTAGGCGATGTCTGTCCTGGTTCACGTCCACTGCGAGGGGGTAGGGGAGCAAGAGGTCTTGGCGGTGGCAATCGATCCAACATGGACTCTGGACGGCGGCCAGAAGTGCTGTCAGTGGCATCCCGATGTGCCGCACGAGGCGGGGATAAGGCCGGTATATACCAGGTGGAGGAAGTATCCACAGGTCGGGTTTGGATTCTAGGAGAGCGAGATCGATCAGACGATATGCGCTCTGTGATGATGCGAGGGCGCAGTCCGTGCCTGGAATTCCGTGGGGCCCTGGGAGACACTCGGGTATCGGACTGCTGGTTTCGTTCAGTCGCCAGGGCAAAGTTCAGGGTGTCCAGAGCAGTCGCTACTTGCGAGGCGAGGACATTGAGCACCGCCACCAGGTTGTTTATGAACTCCACTGACAACTGCATGGCAAATGAAATCACTGCAAGGACAATCCAAGCAAGAAAGGCTGCGGTACAGTATAAACCTCATGCTAGCAAAACATGCATACATCGATGTCTGAGGACCTTTGCCGCTGGTAGTCCGTCAACGGTCATACGAAA